GGGGGGGGGGTATAGGGACAGGACAAGAAAATAAAATTTGGGGACAAATAGGGAATTGAACCTGGGCTGAGGGTCCATCCTGTGTCCACACAGAGCCTTTGCGGTCCTGCGGAGTAATGATGACCATGACTGGTAGTCGGGTCCGAGCTGCCAGGAAGCTACTACGTATCTCCACCTGTTCCTCCACTAGAGACAAAAGTGTGTGCTAAGTCAGCCTAGCCATCCTCAGAAGGCGCCTTCTACTACTCCAGGTGCTCCCCATATGTGCCCAGTGGCCGATCATCACAGGGATTTTCCAATCCCCCTCCCCCAAAGGACAAAAGGGATGAAATGGACACCACAGTTGCCTTATGGGGTGGAGTGTTAATCCCCTAGCTGCAGTCCAGAAGCAGAATTTTCCACTGCCTGGCACCCCTAGTCTAGTTTCTGGGCCTGCACAAGCTCAGGCCTGCTCCCGGGCCCCTCCCACCTTGGGGTCCCACACACCTGGGGAATTAGGAACCTAATACCCTGCTTTTGGCTGGGACTTGGAGCTCCTCAGATTACAAATCATTATCCCACCCCCAAGATGTGTGGGCACCTAGTCTATACTTCCTTGCTCCCCTAAGACCTCTCACCTAGTGTTCAAGAGTCCTCCTCCACTCCTCTCTGCTCTCCACAGCCCGCCTCCCGACAGACTGCTGGAGTCCATTCTGTCAATGACCACACAAGGACAAACCTCACTATAGCCAGTCTGAACCTGGACCTTTTCCTTTTGACATTCTCTATTCCCAAATAGACGGGCAGGCTTCACCCTCTGGGATGGGAGAGACACCTCATGTGTCCCACTGTGCAACTGGTGAAGGGGAACTCTAGTGGTCCTACCAACTTACCAGTGAGCTCATTGTTGAGGTTGACAATGAGAGGGTTGTTCTTCCAATCAAAGGTAGACACCAAGGAAAGGAACCGAAGGAACCCAACCTGGGGAGAGCTAAGTAGAAGGAGTCAAAGTCTGAGGCCCAGCCATCAGCCCCTCAGGCGCTTTCCCCCACAATCTAGGGAGCCCTCATCCTGGGGGAAGCTGCGTAAAGAAGTGAGGAGGAGTCTATGGCTCAGCCACTGATCTCAAGCTTCCATTACAATCAAGGGAGCTCAGATTCCTTAGAGAAGACAGTGGGAGGGAGGGTGCTTCCCACCCTGTGTGTGTGTGTGCGTGCGTGTGCATGTGTGTGAGAGAGAGAGAGAGAGAGAGAAAGGGAGGGAGGAGGAGAGAGAGGGAGGAGAGGAAGAGGGAGAGAGAGAAGGAGAGGGAGAGGGAGAGGGAGAAGGAGAGGGAGAAGGAGACGGAGAGAGGTAGAGGGAGAGGGAGAGGGAGAGGGAGAGAGGGAGAGGGAGAGGGGGAGGGAGCACAAGCATGTGCTAGTACAGGGGCCTGAACACAAGGCCTGGGAAGTATCCCTTAGCTTTTTCACTCAAGGCTAAGCCACTTGAGCCCAAGCTATACTTCTGATGTTGGAGGTCAACTGGAGATTAAGAACCTCAGACTTTCCTGCCCAGGCTGGCTTCTAACTGTGATCTTTAGATCTCAGCCTTCTGGGGCTGGGAAGGTGGCTCAGTGGTAGAGTGCTTGCCTTGCATGCTTGAGGCCCTGGGTTCGATTCCTCAGCACCACATAAGCAAAAAGAAAAAAGCCAGAAGTGGCGTTGTGGCTCAAGTGGTAGAGAGCTAGCCTTGAGCTGAAGAGCTGAGGGACAGCACCCCCAGGCCCAGAGTTCAGGCCCCACGGCCGGACCCCCCAAAAAAAAATCTCAGCCTTCTGAGTCAACAGGATCACAGGTGTGAGCCACAGGCACCTGGCTCCTCTACCGTGTCTTTGGCCACTTTCTCCAATTTGGACTATGGGTAAAACATGAAGGATAAAAGCAGTTCTCAGCTAGAGAAAAGGTAGGAAGAGTCACCTGGGAGGGGTGAAGGGCTCAGGGCGCAGGAAGAGGGAGGCAGCCACCAAATCCAAGCTCTCATCAGTGAATTCCTCTCCCAGAAGCTGTGCGTGCACCCAGCGCTTCACCAGACGAGCTACACTTGAGAAGGCTGGGTGCTGCTGCTGGAGTCTGAAGGAAGAAGAGGAGGCAGTGAGATCAGGGCTTGCAGAGCCCAGGGACAGCCCCCTGCCAGCCTGAATTCACCTGTACCCAACCCTGGACTCTGTGTTAATGCATCACATGCACAACCTCATCTTCTAAAAAATGCTCCAAGAGGTCAATGCCAATGTTACTCCCTTCCTACAGATGAGAAAAATAAGGCCCAGAGGAATATAGCAAGTGGCAAAGCTGGGCTTCTAGAATCTAGACCCCGGTGATGCCATCTGGCCTCCCAGATAGAGGGGCAGCCAGGAGAGAAGAATGGGAGCCGAAGGCCTATGGACAGGAAGAGTCTGTGCAGGGAGCCTTACCCATGCAGGGCACTGGTGAGCAGGGGCAACAGCCTTGTGTCTCTCTCAAGGCGGAGAGAAGCGGGAGTGTCCCTGAGTGAAATCATCCCCTCCGGGCTCCGCACCTCCTTCAGGATCTGAGGCTCCCGCTGATAGGCCACACGAATGCGGAACACAAATCCATCCTGTTGGAAGAGGGGACGGGTTAGGGAAGTGAATGTCACCCAGGGTCCTGGGGGTATCCTCTTGTATACCTGACATCCCTCCCACGTGATTTCCGAAACCATCCCTGACCTTGAGGACATCAGTGTGCGTGGCAGTGGCCCGGCACCGCAGGTTATGCTGCTGCGTCAACAGTTCTGCCAGGCGAAGCTGGAAGGCGGCTCGGACCCGCCGCACAGCCTCAGCATCCTGTGGCCACTGACCACTGCCCTCCAGGTGACAAACCACTAAGGGGGAAGAATGAGAGGTTTCTCACTGCAGCCTGGAAGGACAACTGCCTGTCCCTCTCCCTCTCAAGAGCACTCTTACCAGTCATGGGCTCCACATAGGCCGGGCAGGGCTTATCAGGTCTGGGCAACAGGGAGGCCCGCTCCCGGAGCAGCTCATAGAAGGAGAAGGCTGGACGGACTGGGGCTGGTGGAAATACCTGCCAGCCGAAGAAGTGGGGTTGAGGAAGGTGCCTGGGGCTGGGAGGGATGCCCGTTCAGAAGGAAAGAGGAATACTGGGTGACTGGAATAGAGGCGGAAGGTTGCTGAGCAAAATGGGTCCTCTGCCTCATCAGGGCACCTTACCTCTGTATAACGCAGTACTGGGTGTGCTCCTTGAACAGCAGATACAGTCAGTGGGAGACCCTCTAGCCCCCACAGCAAGCGGCTGAGCTCATCATAGCAGCGCACCACCACCGTCAAAGCCTCCTCACCTGTGCTGGAGGTCTGAGGGAAGAGAAGATGATCAGGAGACTAAATGTAAAACCCCAGCACCAACTAGGATTTTGCCATAGTTCAAACTGCAACAGAGCTAGAGCATCACCTGCTGGACCTCCTAGGAAATGCAGCTTGACTAGCTCAACCCCATCTTATGACACAGGTGATTCTCAATAGCTTTGGCCCTGAGACCCTTACCTCCCTCTGCCCAAAAAGTCCTTGGGCTTGAGCTCAGGCCTAAGCATTGTCCCTCAGCTCTTTAGCTCAAGGCTAGCTCTCTACCACTTGAACCACAGCACCACTTCCAATTTTTTGTTTTTGTGGTGCTGAGATACCAAAACCCAGGGCTTCATGTATGCTAGGCAAGCACTCTACCACTAAGCCACTTTCCCAGCCTCCTACCTCTTTCAGATCTTGTATCAATGCATCCAGGAAGCCCCCCACATAATGGATACAGGTATCTGGAATGTCAGCATGGCTGAAGGGAGACACAGACACAGTGCATTGAGCATAAAGTGAGCTACTCACTCCAGTCTTCTGGATTAGACCTCCAGGCATGAATGCTTAATACTCACAGTGCCAAGAGGTGGGTAACCACCTGGTGAGGAATAAGGCGCTTCTGAGAGAGAGAGGCTGCCTCCCAGACCACAGCTTCCCTAATGGCTCCATCTTGGAAACGCCGGAGTTCTGAACGGGATCCCCAGAATTGGCGGAAACCAGCAGCCTGAGAACAGGTAAGAGGTGGTTGGTGTGATCAAGAACAAAGGACAGGGCTGGTGCTGTAACTCAGCTGCACGCACCAAAGCCTTCAGTTCAAATAAACTTTTGCTTTGTTTTGCTTTTTTTGTTTTAAAAAGGGACTGAGAATCTTTCGTGACAGGCCTCAAGCAAACAACATGAGATCACTCCATCTATTCCTCCCAATGTGCATTCTGGATGCCTCACCTCCGGCTGGTCAGCCTCTGGGCCAAGCTCGAGGACACTGGTTAGGGCCTCAGGCTGGAGGAGTAATCCCAGGGTCAGAGTCCCAGAGTCTTTGTGCTTTGGTGGATCTTGGCTGATGTCCCACTGATGAAAATAAAAAGGCGAGGCTCAACCCAAGAATCACTCCAGACTGGCTTGAAAATAAACTTTACAACTAGTTAAATTAGGCTAGAAAGATAGCATGCCATCTGAGTCCTTTCGGACCCTGAATCCAACCTCAGTCCCACCAACTCCCCAAACTACACTGGCTCACCTCTGGAACAGGGAGCCGAGAATGAGCCAGCAGGTGTAGCCGGGAGCCCAGGCCCTGCTCCAGAAGAGTGGTTAATGGGCCCAACACAGCTGAGACATAGTCCCCACCATTGTCTTGAAGTTCTGGCCAGAGCTTTAGCCGGTGACATGCTGCCTGCAAGCGACTCAGTGGACGAAGACTGGAGGGGTACAGAAATATAAAGAAGGGTAGGAGGGTCTGCAGGCCCCTCATACACCTACTCTATTGAATACCTGAACACCTGTCGGAGGAAATTTTGCCTTATTGCCTCGGGGAGACAGGACCCACCAACATACCCTGTCTCCCCTAAACTCACTGCAGGATGTGGTCAAATGCCCGGATCATGGGTTTGGGAGTCATCAACAGGAGCTGAAATCCATCATCAGCTTTGCTGTCCAGCAATGCCATAGATAGGCGTGCCTCATGCTGCACCTGGAGCCACAAGGTAAGAGAGACCACCACTGCACCTGGCTAACCCACGACTCAGACTAGGAACATACTTCATCTTGTACTTTTTTGTGCTGGTCCTGGGGCTTGAACCCAGGGCCTGAGCACTGTCCCTGAGCTTCTTTTGCCCAAAGCTAGCACTCGAGTACTTGAGCCACAACACCACTTCTAGCTTTTTTGGTAATTTATTGGAGTAAGAGTCTCACAGAATTCCTGCCCGGGCTATCTATGAAACATGATTCTCAGACCTCAGACTCCTCAGTAGCTAGGATTATAATTGTGAGCTACTGGCACGTAGCTCTGATCTTGCTTCTTTAGAGAGTACTTTGGGGTAATGACAGAAGGGATGAGACGGAACTGGGACTTCTCAGGTATACAGAAATAGAGACCATTGGCTCTATCGGTACCTGGTGGTAAGTGGAGGCAGTGACATCAGCACAAAGGTTGAGACGACCTGACGAATCCAGGAAGACAACTGGAAAGGCCTGGCTGAAATCAGCCAGAGCTGGCTGGAGGGACGGGTGAAGAAAAGACAGTCAGGTTTGGGCCTTCCTTATCTTCAGACCTCCTGGCACAGAACTGCCCTTCTCCTACTTACCAAGGAGGGATCTGAGCTGAAACATAAACTGATCCCGTTGACTGTCAGATCTGTAGTGGCTGGAGTGAACCAGAGATGGTGGGTGAGTCAGAAGGTATCTCTCCCCAGGGACCCCACTCTAAAGACAGCCTCCCTCAGCCCAGGTGCTCCAGGATTCCATTTGCTCATTCCAATGGCAAGGAACTAAAGGATCTCTGACAGAATGAGAGGATCCCTGAGACAAGAGAAACACTTAACCTTCCTTGCCCTGTTGGTCTCACCCAGAAATTGCAAGACGCTTCTCAGAACCTGGTAGCCACTCATGGTAGTATGGATCTTGCGTGTGGACACAAGGAATGCAACCAGCATGGAGACAATGAAGCCATTAAACCCACCTAGACCCTGAAAAAGAGAGAAGAAAGGGGGGTGGGGGGGAGACCTGAGCTCAGAGCCAGTCCATCACACAAGGAGGCAGGAAGGCTAGGTCACCCTCAACTCACCTTGTCTAGCTCCCGCTGACGCAGCCAGACCTTCAGAAGTGCCACACCATCTTTCAGCCCCAGAGCAGAGCCTAGCACAGCTGACAGCAGCTGCGCATGGGACTCCATAGCTGTATCCTGAAGGATCCATGTGTTGTAGTGAGGAGTAGGAGGCTCTGGGCTACCTGTGGGAGGAACAGAGAAGCCATGAAAAGAGAAACCTCCACCACGCCCCATCCCTCCAGCACCCTTGGACACCAGTGCCCGCTCACCACCCTCTGGAGGACTCTGTCCAAGGTACCAGGCAGAGCGCACATTGTTCTTGTTTGGCAGCAAGCGACATGGGCGGAAAAAGTCCAGAGGAGGGCATATGTGGAGACGTACGGTGACTAGATGTTCATCCTTGCCTGGGTGGAGACATACTGGGTGTGGGCCTTGTGGCTTCTAGAACTGAAGGAGCCCCCACACTACGCCTCTCATGTTTGAGAGCCCTATGTCATCCCACCTCAGAATCTGAGGTCCTAATCTGTCCCCTCAAACCTGAGGCCTCAGCCTCTTAACTTGGCCTTCAAGTTCCTAGTTCTACTCCCCTAGACCTTGTGCCGCCCCTCCCAAAATTTGTCACCCACCTATCCCTTAGGCCAGGCATGAATCTCACCATGTGGCCGCAGGAGAAGCAAAGGTTTCAGGTGGCAGCCATTGGTATAAGAGAAGCGAACGCTGCCAAAGAGAGGGTCCTGGGCCAGGTGGTAAGCCAAGTGGGCTAGGTAAAGGGCACGCTTGCGGAAGTAGCGCTGGTTCAGTCCGTCCTTGTCCTGTAAGATTTCCTGGAGGGGGTCAAGGAAGGTGTGACAGGACCAGAGGCATGAGTACTTGTGGAGGTGAGGGGCTAAGAGGGATCAAAGTGAGCGTCCCAGAGTTTCTTCTGACTACGGGTTGTCTAATCCAGCAACAACACACGCCATTCTCACACAAGGAACACAAAGTTCCAAAGGAACAGCTGACCCAAGGACCCGTCTAGGCTGCTCTTATCATGGGCTCCTTCATCCTCCAAACCTGAAACCTTACCCTGGGCATGGTCAGTGCCATATCCACATTGATGTCTGGTCGGATGCAAGTGCCCAGAAGATAGCTGCCCACAACAGTGACTTGGGTTGGAGGCAGGAAGCAGAAAGAACCCTTCACATTATAAGGCACTTGATGCAGGGGGACCCGAACCTCAGCTGGAAGCCACGACTGGTCAGTAAGCTGTAGAAACAGTAACACGTCTTCACTCCACTGCCTTCCTCACACTGGCCTCTTGATGTCTAACAGATGCCTTAACACACTAATATGTTTGAAACTGAATTGTTAATTTGCCCATAAATGTCTTTCACATGAAGACAATTCCTTATTAGGTACTCAAGAGAAAAAAAAAAGACATTTAAACCACCTTGATTTAACTCAACATGATAAATCCAATGCTAGAAAGATGGTGGCAATCGGTGCTGGGAAAGTGGCTCAGTGGTAGAGTGCTTGTCTTGCACGCATAGGGCCTTCCTCAGCACTACATAAGCAGAAAGAGCTGGAAGTGGGGCTGAGGCTCAACTGGTGGAGCACTAGTCTACAGCTGAAGAGCTGAGGGACAGCGCCCAGGCCCAGAGTTCAGGCCCCACGACCTACCAACCAAAAAAAAAAAAAAGAGAGAGAGAGAGAGAGAGAGATGGTGGCAAAAAAAATCATCAGTTCCAGTCCAGCCTAAGCTAGATAGTAAGCCCCTATCTCAACAAACAAACAAGCCACAATGGAAGGAATTAGTTTAATTGTTCAGGTGATTATCCTGAACTGTCAATGCTGCCTATTCCCTTGTACTAGATTTTCATACAGCTTATACTTTTTTTTTAATGTTTTGTGAAAATACCTTACAGAGGGGTTACAATTACATGAGCAAGGTAATAAGTACATTTCCTATCGAGCATTGTTGCCTCCTCCTTTGTTTTTCCCCTACCATCCCTTCCCTCCCATCTCCATGACTATATTCCCCACCCCCCCAACTTATATTTTTATAAGGTTGCTGATTGATCATCACTCTGGTAGGAAGCTGGGAGATGACCCTAAATTCTTGCAATTTGATGATGCTGCCACAATTGATCTATTTCCTGGCAAGCCTAAGTATATTTTTTCTTTCTTTCTTTTTTTTTTAATTGAGAGTTTCTCTGACAAAATTTCCTGTGGTTCATTTTGCTGTTCAGGATGACAGAGTTGCTGTGGTTGTCACCAAATGAGTAGACTGCTGGAGAAGGCAAAGTCACCAATTCTGCCTAGAAAGCTAAATGAGTATTATCCCTAATACACACCCCACTCTTCATCAGTGGAAGAATCACCTCAGAATCTGTCTCTAGATGGCTCACCTATAATCCTAGCTACTCAGGGGGCTGAGATTGGAAGATCTCCGTTTGAAGCCACCAAGGACAGGAAAGTACATGAGACTCTCATCTCCAATTAACTACCAAAATGCTGGAAGTGGAGCTGTGGCACAAGTATTAGTGTACCAGCCTTGAGTGAAAAAATCTAAGCAAGAGCCTGAGGCTCTAAAGTTCAAGTCCCACCACCCCAGCTTAAAAAAATTGGTTAAAGCTGGACATCAGTGACTCATGACTGTAGTCTTAGTTATTCAAGAGGTTGAGATCAGAAGATTGAAATACAAAGTCAGATAAGGCAGAAAGGTAGAAAGATTCATCATTCCCTCTCCAATTAACCAGCAAAATGCCACACAAGAGGTATGGTCAATTGCCGGGCGCCAATGGCTCACACCTGTAATCCTAACTACTCAGGAGGCTGAGAGTTGAGGATCTCAGTTCAAAGCCAGCCCAGGTAAAAAAGGCTGTGAAATTCTTATCTCCAGTATATCACCAGAAAACCAGAACTGGTGTTGTAGCTCAAGTGGCAGAGAGCTAGCCTTGAGCTAAAGAGCTCAGGGACAGCACCCAGGCCTAGAGTTCAAGTCCCATGACCCCATGACCGACCAAAAAAAAAGAGGTATGGTCCAGTGATAAGAGTGCCAGCTGT